CCCAACCACAACATTATTTTTGTTGCTACTTCCTAACTGTAATTTTGCTACTTTTATGAATCGTAATGTAAATATCTGATATGCAGGATGTATTTTCATTCACTGGACCAAATTTGGCACAAATATCCAATACGCCCAAATTTAAATACTGGTGGGGTTGGAGGGGATTGATTTTGTCATTTGGGAGTTGTAAGTTGCTGGATTTATAGTTCACCTACAATCAAAGAGCATTCTGATTCCACCAACAATGGAATTGAACCAAACGGGGCACACAGAATTCCCATGACCAACAGAAAATACTGGAAGGGTTTAGCGGGGCATTGACTTTGAATTTTGGAGTTGTAGTTCACCTACATCCAGAGAGCACTGTGGACTCAAACAATGATGGATCTGGACCAAACATGGCACAAATACTCAATATGCCCAAATGTGAATACTGGTGGATTTGGGGAAAATAGACCTTGGCATTTGGGAGTTGTAGTTGCTGGGATTTATAGTTCAACCACAATTGAATTTTAACTAACTGCAGAAGCACTATCTCAAGCAAATATTGACAATTTATTCACACTGTCATTACTTGCAGCAATAGCCGATGTAGTGAAGCAACCAAGTTGGGGGGGTGTTGAATGCTCTCATTAAGGAGGCCAGACTTGGTGGAGGTGGTTGACAGGGGCGGAGCTGCAGGCTATTGAAGGCTGCTCTGCTCCCTGCTGTGCTCTTGGAGGCAGGTTTCCCCCCCCCCCCCCCCCGCAAAATTTTCAACCCCCCTCCCCCGAAAATTTCAACCCCTCCCGAAATTTATTCTGGCTATGGCCCTGATATACAGTCATGCAAAGGTGCAAGTTTTTTTTAGCTGGAACTGAGTTATAAGGACACCTTATCATGTGCTTTTTACCTCTTAACCCATTTCCTCCTGCACTTTGGCTAAACGTCATTTAGCCAGCCACCCCTTCTTTTAACCTGTTTACGTTTGGGTTTTATAAGATGTGTAGAAGGGCCCTCAGAGTTTCTGCAGGCTGCACCAAAGCCTTGTGAGAGCCACATGTTTTATAGGTCTGATCTGGAGGGATCTTTAGGACCCCCAGCACTATTTTGTAGTAGACATTGACCTCAAAGTCACATTAGAGGATGTAGAAATCTCTAAAGAGATCTTATTAATTAAATCTACCTGCAAATGTCAAGGGCCAATGATAGCTTGATTGCTATGTGTTTAAAATTCCTCTTTAAAGTATTATATGCAAAAGTAGGTGGATTTGTACATGTTCTTGCAAGGCATAACTGGCAACTCAATAATTTCTTAGTAAATTATGAAAATATCTGGCAAGTCTAGATATTTGGAGAACCTCTCTGTGTCCATCTCCTAATGGCAAGAACTGATCTTTTTTCTGCTCTCTGCATTCCATTTCAAAACAACCTATAATATGACTTTTTCCTCTTTTCTCAAGACAGTAAAGTTTGCTCAGAAGTCTCTGGTGAAATACTTTGTTCAAAGCTTTTTGGAAGTCCAAATAAACAATATCTACTGGACAACTCGTGATCACGTGTTTATTTACATTTCCAAAGAACTCTGAAAGGTTAGTAGGACAGGAATTACTTAGGAGTGCACAATCCCTATAGGCAATTTGGGAAAGAAAAGGAAGTCTTGCTCACTGATGGGAAGGAGGAAACATGATGGGGACAATGGCAGTAGTAAAATAGAGAAAATACACTTTACACCAGCCAGAATCAGTATGTTTTTGCTGGTCTAAGAATGCATCTACACTTTGACCCAACTTTAATTGTAGTGGTTCAATGATATGGAATTGATATAACCCAGTCATGTGAGTTATAGTTTGGTGAGGTACCAGCATTCCTTCAGAGTAGGCTAAAGGCCTGTGAAAATACAACTCCGATGTTTCCATAGTATTGAGCCATGGCAGTTAAAGTGGCATCAAACTGCATAAATTCCACAATGTAGAGGCACTCTAAGGTCTGTAAAAATTCAGATTAAATAAGTGAGTTTAAAAATTGCAGGACCTGACAGCAAGTCCAAGACTCACACCTGTGGGTCCTGGGAAATGGCCCCTTGCCATCCTGACACTTTCCTTTGTAGTGGGTTTTACAAATCCGCATGATAGCTGGTGGACATCTGGTTCAAGTTTTTTTAATTCCCTCTGAGATGTTCTGGATTGTATAAACCGCCTCGACTCGCCTTCGAGTAGAGAGGGGAGGTATATAAATATAATAAACACATAAATAAATAAAATATGTGCTCATGTGGATAGCTCAATGTACACAAAAGCAGATTTGTTATTCTTTCTCCTCACCCAACTGTAAATTCAAGCTCTGTTTAATGTCATAGGCATCACAAAAAATGAATGTTGCAGAGAGTTCTAATTGCAATTGCTTTCCATTTGTGCTTCCGTTTAGCCACCTGTGTATCCATGGCCACATTTTTGACAGCCTAGACAGTTGTTTCGGGCTTTTAAAATGTGCACGTGCTTTGGAGCAGTCCACACCATGTTTTCCATGATTGCAGTCATGCCAAGGTGTTCAATTTTTTTGGCTGGAATCACACCTTTTTAACATGCTATTTTCAGCTGTTAACCCAATTCAGCACACACTTTTGAGAAACATCATGTAACATCCCCCCCCCCATATCCTAGTTTTTTCCAGGTTTTAATGCATGTGTAGAAGGGCCCTAAGGTCCACTGCTTTGTATTCTGCTGATGAACTCTAATTTCTCATATATTTGCATTCTTAGCTTTGTGGAAGGGGTGTATGTCYACACCGCCTTATAATCCAGTTGAAAGCCTCAGGCCCTTTCCACATAGCTGAATGAAATCCCACATTTTCTGCTTTGAACTGGAATATATKACAGTGTGGACTCAGATAACCCAGTTCAAAGCATCTATTGTGGGATTTTCTGCCTTGATATTCTGGGTTATATAGCTTTGTGGAAGGGCCCTTAATCAAGTGAATGTGTTAAAGCTGGTATTGACACAAAGGTCAATTCTACAGTCAGCAAGTTATATTATCCTTCCTTATTATTATTATTATTATTATTATTATTATTATTATTATCTTTATTTGTACCCCGCTAGCATCTCCCGTAGGACTCAATGCGGCTCACACAGGCCGAAGCCCCAAAACACAATACAACAGAACATAGTACAACAGCAATACCAGAAGCAAAT